CCCCCCTGGATGGGATGCTAGTTCATCGCAGGGTTACCCCCAGCATTAAGTTCGCCGGTACCCATTTATACACCTGGGTGGAGAGAGGCACTGAGAGTGTAAAGTGTCTTGCCCAAGAGCACAACGCAATCTCCCCGGGCAGGGCTCGAACCCAGACCGCTCGATCTGGAGACGAGCTCACTAACCATCAGGCCACCGCGCCTCCCACTTAGATGAATGCAGCACAGACAAACGAGGGAGAAGTAGTTAAGCTGATTTTTTTCACACTAACTGTTGTCTTCATTTTCGTCCCTTAGTTTCAGCTGAAGAAATAGTGTCTCGTCTGAAAGTAAGTTCACATTGTTTTGGTTTTGCTTAGAAATCTATATCCATGAATAGGCCATTTTACAGTTGTGAGCTTAGTTACCAGGCCTGTGAATGCAAGCGAGGCTGGAGGTGGCCTTGCTTTGATACCGACCTCTCTGCTTTTCGCATTTAAATGCCAACTAGTCAGCAAAAGAATAACAAATTTACACAACAAAAGCAGTGAGATCTTTATCAAAACAAGGTCACCTCCAGCCTCACTGCCATTCAAAGGCTAGGCTACTGAGCAGACAATTATAAAATGGTCTATTCTAGCCTACACTAGTTTCAAAAGTCGGGGTTGCATATCACTGAAAACAAAGCACCACACCAAACGAAGTGTCATTTGAATAAGTGCGCGAAATATAAACTAAACAAGGAAACGTCTTGTCGATAAAACGGCGAGACATCGAATTTCTACAAAAATGGATGAGTATTCTAGTTTGTTTTATTGTACTATTTGGTCGAACGTTTAGCATAGAGTGATTTCAAACCAGCTGATCTTATAAAAATGATTTTTTTTTCTTGTTTTGACTTTTCCCTTTTTTAGTGTAAAAGTCCTCACTTTCGGGTGTTTTTGAAGGAAAACCTTCCAAAGCGTCTTCACTATTCAGATAACAGGTATTTGTAAATTCTCGTGTTGATAGCTTTCTTCGATGCTTACAAAGCGGTTCTTTTTTTGCTTTTCAAAGTAAACTTCATGTTCTTTGATTTATTTATTATTAATTTATTATTATTCTTTAACGCAAACTCTTTGGCAAAATAGTCTCTTTACTGGCCTCAACCAACTAAGAACAAATAAATTAATTACAATACTTAGAGAGGAAGCCAAATTATCCCTAGCAGGTGGTTTTCAGGCAGGTCTTCTATCCTGGTCAAATTGGAATTTGAAAATGTAGGTTTTTCAGAAGGCATGAAAACGCACGGAGAAATCGGAGAAAAACCCTCAGGAGAAGGCGAGAACCAATAAAAAAATAAAAAAATAAAAAATATCTTGATTGACCACTCCCCCAATGGGGCTTTTCAGGGCCAGTGAAACCAAATGGTGAAACAAATAATGCACATGAACACAACATGGTTAAAAATCCCAACTGGCGGNTCAATGAATTCTAGCCTACACTTGTAATTTGACTATTTTACATTTCAAAAGGCGGGGCTGCATATCACTGGAAATAAAGCACCACGCCAAACAAAGTGTCATTTGAATAAGTGCGCGAAAAACAAACAAACAAGAAAACGTCCTGTCGATAAAACGACAAGTGTTGAGTTTCTACATTAAAGCGAAAATGATGCGTATTTCAGTTTGTTTTGTTGCACTATTTGGTCGAACGTTTAGCGTAGAATGATTTCAAATCAACTGGTCTTATAAAAATGATTTTTTTTTCTTGTTTCGTCTCTAACCTTTTTAGTGTAAAAGTCCTCACTTTCGGGTGTTTCTGAAGGAAAACCTTCCAAAGCGTCTTCACTATTCGGATAACAGGTATTTGTAAATTGTCGTGTTGATAGCTTTCTTCCATGCTTATAAAGCAGTTTTCGTTTTACTTTGATTTATTTATGATAAATTTATTTTTTAACGCAAACTCTTTGGCAAAATAGCCTCTTTACTGGCCGCAACCAACTAAGAACAAATAAATTAATTACAATATTTAGAGAGCAAGCTACATCAGCCTTAGCAGGTGGTTTTAAGGTAGGTCTTCTATCCTGGTCAAATTGGAATTTGAAAATGTAGGTTTTTCAGGAGGCATGAAAACGTACGGAGAAACCGGAGAAAAACCCTCAGGGGAAGGCGAGAACCAATTTAAAAAAAAGCACAAATATCTTAATTGACCGCTCCCCCAATGGGGCTTTTCAGGACCAGTGAAACCAAATGATGAAACAAATGATGCAAATGAACACAACATGTTTAAAAATCCCAACTGGCGGGGGGCAGACCAGTTGGCTCTTTACAAGCATGACCGAGGAGTTGAACTAGGGTCTACTGAGAAACAACTCCAGCGGTCAGAGTGGGACTTGAACCCGCGACCAGCGGATTTCAAGTCCGGCGCCCTAACCCGCACTCGGCCACGCTGCCTCCTCAAATTACAAATTCAACCACATTTGGCACCGGGCTGGAGTCGAACCCAGGCCACATTTTTGGGAGGCGAGCGCTCTCACAACTGCACCAACCCTGCTTCCGAACATGTTTCATTCTCATTTTCTTCGAGATGGTATATCGAGAATTTAGCTGATGCATAAAAATAGATTCCATGATCAGTCCGCTGAAAGTGATGATCGGATAAATTGTCGTAATTTTTTTAAAGGAATATTGTCATGTTAGTTAAAGGCTAAAGCCCTGGGTTTATTTGTCCAGCTACCCAAGCCCACCTTTTACTTCCGATGGCTCCACCGGAAGTAATTAAAAACTTGAGGAATGGACCCAAGGGTTGAACAAGAGGAAAATCTGGATCTACAATTTACGACACGCCAAATACGGTTGCTGACCTCACAAATTATCTTGCAGGAGAATCGGACGAATCATCGCAATTCCAGAGGATGGTTGGCTCCTAGGAATAAAGTGAGTACAGTACATTTCCCTGAATTAGAGCTTTCTTGAAATGAAATAAATGTCCAGTGATAATGAGATAGTGGTAACATTACTGATGAACAAGCCAATGTTGTTTTTAGAAAACTCTCGCAAAATGTATTCAGAGAACTTAATTCGAGTATCTTTTTTGCTACTTTCGAATTCGGCGAACTATCGTTTCNGATTCTAAACCACACGCCTTTGAGGCTCAAGTTTGAGCATCTAGCAAGTAAAGCAAAAAAGAATTGGGCCACAGGGTGCTTTATGGAACTCGGGAGCAAGTTATCAGTGACTGAAAGCATGGGATGAACTGAATTCTTATGAATTCTTATGAATTCTAAATCAAACTTCAGGTTAAGCATCTACATGTAGAAACTAAAACAAAAAAAGGACATGACCAGAGGATGCTTCATGGAACTCGGAACTGAAAGTATTAAGGGAAACTGGCCAACTCTAAATCACAGCACTTTTCGGTAAACGTTCATATCCGAGCAACCTGGCACTAGAGCAAAATAGGACTTAACCAGAGGATGCTCTGTGGAACTCGGGATTTCGTGCAGAAGTGCTACGCCCAAGTGAAATGATCAACACCTTTCTGGCGGTTTCTCTCGTCACAAAGCAAGATAGAGGGTGGATCTGTGATTGCGTTACTGCAAAGTTGCTATTGATGTCGAGCGACAACAATTTGCATTTTTCCACCTATTTTATGTTGCCAGTATTCAAATTATTTGGCCCTGCTAAAGATAAACGTTTTCGATGCCTTTTGTTTACGGTTTCCGAGCTATTGGGGGTAGAAAAACATAAATGCCTTTGCCAGGGGATGCTCTGCGGTGCTCTGACAATATATCGTGCGTCAGCGATACGTCGAGAGATCGATTCCTTCTCGCCTCTCTGACGGTCTGCTTCACCAACAAAGGCAATTAGAGATTGCCATCTTAAAGTCAGGGCGTTGATAAATGTGTTTCTTCCGCTATATATTCAATACGTCAACATTTTTTGTCACTAACTCAAGACCCAAAGAGCGGTTACGTAACTTAAATCAAAGTGATAAAAGTTGCATATTCACCCCTGGTGATCCGTGTGAGGTTAGGATCAACTGTCAGTGTGTGTTCGAGAGTCAGCTGTCCTTATACTTTTCCTGTTTTCTATTCGTGACTGGAAGGTTCCTTATACAATATGACACGATTTAGCATCAATCGGCAAAGAAGAGTGGATCACTGCTTGATGTTTGATCGGAAAATTACCAACACATTATCACCACGCCAGCGAATAGCCATGTTCCAGACCAGTCAACCAGGTCCATCACACTCTGCTGACAAGGAGAGCTATGGCGAAGTGATGAACAGGCAAAATCAACGGTCCTCTCGGGGCAACTTTACAAAGCCAATCAACATGACTACGAACGAACTGATGGAATGGCAATATCTCTTGAAACGACGCCTCATTGAGGACACCCTGCAAAAAAGGCGGAACGCGGTATGTAGCGAAATAGAACGAACCTGGTTTTTGCAAGGAAGTCATTTAGAAAAGCATCGGCACAATTTGCGTGTCACACTTGAGCTGCAGGATCGAGGGTTAATGATGTGATGACTGGTAAAAGGCGAACTGATTGAAGATGCGTTTCCTCAACATCGAAAAATGAACTTAAAAAAACCAAAGCAGTGGATATGTTTTGGCTCAATTTTTCCCTTGGTACAATTGGTATTTTCCTTCGTTTTATATTCATTATTATATATTACCATGCCTAAGAACAAAGGTAAAAAAAAGGATTGTACCAAGACTAAGATTGAACCACAACATCCGTATTGCGAACGAGGATCGCAGTCAGTGACATCACGAAAAAACTAAAGTTTTGCTTAGATTTGCTGTTTACAAAACTCAGGTCAGTGATAAGGCAACGCAATGCTAAAGCCCGTCAGTAACAACAACAGCAATCCTTTATTTACACACGATTTAGTTTAAAGCAATAGGTTTGCTTGTGGGGTCGTGTTTACACTAAAAACAGAAATATGTACAGTAATAATATGAAATGTGTTAACAGCACTGAATTTTATTTAGTTCAAGTTTTGTCAGCGTTCTTGTTATCATGTATATAGCTTACGTGTATTTCATTGCTTTTTAGTTTTTATGTAATGGCGATAATTTGTAAGTGTTTAGAGAGCAACGGAGTTTGTTATGAATGAGAGATAATGCTTTATAAGCATTTCTGTAAAACAATGGCTTTCAGTCTTCAATAAAAAGACAGCCATACAAATGACTTTTTCAGTGTTTATGTGCCTTTAGTGTGTAATTGTGATTTTCTTGAATTTCCTTCGATGAAAACTTCCAAAAGTTTTACAGTGCATCAGAACAGTTGGTAGTGAAAGCTGATGAACTTGAACTCTGGACAGCTTCGTTAACAACCTGGAACTTTTTTACAGTACAGAGGAACCGTTGAATGTTAATTGTTAACAAACATTGCGCAATTGTTATAAACCTTTATTAAGAGGACACGCTCTATTAAGCGGACACTTGGGGAGGTCCCGAGGGTGTCCGCTTAATAGAGGTTTCACTGTAGTAAATCTTAAAAACCAGTCTGACAAGTTCTACAGAATTTCACGGCCGATGAAAACACGAAGAATTTCATCGTCAGCTTTGCTTTTGCGGTCAGGCTAGCTACGTCTTACAATACCGCAAAAACCTTCCCGTTTTCCTTTTAGCGTGCGCCGATTAGTACCAACGTTATCAGTGCCCCTGAACTTTAAAAACCTTAAAGAGCCACCTAAAATAGTCTTTTTATTGGTTCCAGGTATCCTCGGCCTTAAACCCGCCCCGAACGACGGGACGCCTGGTAGTTTGTTGCACCTGTTAGATCCGACAGCTGTTGACGTCGCTGTTCCTGAATCAAAAAGCGATGGTAATCCTATGAGAAATGACATCTGTCGCTATCCCAAGAGCCTGGTAGACTGCACACAATGCATTTGTCCTTGGTGCCAGGTGAGTGAGATGCTGGTGTACTTTCTAAAGCTAGAGAGAAATGAATTTCAATAATTAGGTAAGCTTTACGATGCAAATTCTACCGGGCGACACTCTTTCAAAAAGCGTGATGCTTTGTCCTTTTTGGAGCCGCCATACTGTGACAAATGTCCTCAGAGGGCGGAGGTCATCGTGGAAGAGGGTTGATGGTCAGGTTTAGCCTACATTAATCGTTATTTTACACTTAACACTATGCCATAGAAAATACAGCCAATCAGAACACAGGAAAGCCGTTGTATATTTCACCGTATTACCCCTAACCTTCCCATCATGCGCCGCGCGTATGTCGCATTGATTGTGTGTTGGTCACTGTATTTTCTATGAAAATGTATGAAATAGTGATACAATGCTCTCTCGGGGTAAAACGGCTCGTGTCTATACCGAGAAAATACAAGTGACTCGTTGGATGTTCCATTGTACACCACTCGAAAGCGTTGCGGAACTAGTATTAATTACATATTCGAAAAAATATTTAGGACTTTCGAATTCAGGCCATTGCAACTAGGATTTAGGCGAAATTGTTTTTAGTTTTGGATCTACAGTGTTCAATGAATGTGTAAATACAAATGTTGCCGTTAATTCTTTTTTTTTTTTTGTCGTTTTTTTTTATATTAGGCTAATAAAAGTGATGTTGCTCGATATGACAGAATGCTAAACTTCTCAGACGAACAAAGTAAGTTCATAGACTACCATTTGTCTCTTCTGCTTGAGAATTGTGTGCAATAAATTGTTTAAAGAGCAAATGCTGTAATCACGATTCGATGTTAAACATATTAATATGACTGGAAAAGTATGAATTGGGCTGGGGTTTTTTATTGCGGTGTACAAGGACATATAATCCCTTGGACGCCATGTGAAAAGAATATCACGAAATATGTATTTGTCTGGGCACTAAAACATGTTAGAGTTAGTGAAATAAGACCGCATTGAGAATAGGCTATTTCCGAATTATCTTAAGCCTCTTTCTCAAAGCGAGTCTTGGTGCTCATCCTTTCATATGAAAATGAGATTTCATTCCCTTGCAAATTAAACTCATTTTCATATGAATCGTTGTGCACCTGGCTTCGCTTTGATAGAGAAGCGTGGGTCAACTCGGAAATGGGCTAATTTTCAATGGGCTGGTTTTCAGCGTAGGTTTCCATGTAAGAAATGTTCCTCTTCTAACCACTTAGTCTACAATACAGCGGTGTTCACTAGCTAGACTGTCGAAGCAACAACCGTTTCTTTGGTTGTGCTCCATCACGCTACCTAATAAAAAAACTTGCGTGACTTTGCCGTCCAGTCAGAAGTAAAACCAAAACCAATTGTGATTCGCTCGCACACGTTTTCCCGCGCTTCGCGTCGGCTACATGTTTCGATTAGTTATCTGGACTGTCTGGTTCTTAAAGTTTTGATGAACCAGAGTGATTACTTTGGTTTTGGTTTTACGATAGTTAGTTGAAATCGCTCTATCTTCACGTCAGTCTGCTACTTTTTAGAGGTTCGTCTGAAGGGCTTCGATAGCCTTTTGATTTCACAAAGTTTGTTTGTCCATTAACCAATCCTGTTTTATCTTAGTATCTCAACTGCAAGAAACGCACCTCCCGTGGGGGGTACCCGAAGGCGGAGCCGGTCAAGGAGGCTGCATTTTAACACAGAACGATTTTGTGACGGGTTATAGCACCTCTCTTCATTTGCCATTATGGGTAGCGTACAGATTAGATGGAAAGGTGCGTTAATCCAGATCTGAACGTTATTAGACACGAACACAAGACAGTTTAATTCGGAGTTATTTTGGCCACGTACAAAAGTACATTTAAATTGAAGGAAACCTGAAAATAGTAGTTTAATAAGATAGAAAAACACCAGAGATAATTTTAAACCATAAAGCAACAAGGATGGTTAAGGATGGAAAAGGTTAACCCGGATAACAAACGACGAACTTAGAGTAAACTGTAACATAGTTCCTTTAAGCGGGCACTAGGGAGGTTTCCATGGGTGTCCTCTTAAAACAGGTTGAAGACAAGTTGTTCTACGTTGTTGTTATAATAAGCTGAAGCTGTTGCTCGTAACGTTTTGAAATTAAAAGATAATGAAGAGAACGTTCTGAAGATAAAAACAAGGTTTTGCTTTTGGAACATTGAGCCCAAGATTTTACGCAACAGTTTTGTGTCCGGTATTTAAGTTTTCTGTAAAATAAAATATTTCTGTGCGCTTTGCCACTATTATCTAGAAATCCTCTCAAACAGCCACGCGAAGAAACTGTTTTCGACAAGATATACGACTGAACGATTCCCAGACCTCGCTCTGCGCTCATTACAGGGGCTCTTCTTTCGACCGTGGTCACATGGCGCCGAATGCCGACTTTGACACCTTTGACGAAAATGATGAGACGGTGATGAACTCATTTTTGCTGTCAAATATAGCACCTCAACATCGTGGATTTAACGGTGGTAAGATTTTTAAAAGGAATCTTTTATTAAAGCATGTTACGTCTCACCTATATTCTCGCTGTTTAGTAAATCTCAGAAAGACAACAGTGTTGTCCCAGATCATGAGATGATCTCACTTCGCTTGACTATGAAGATCACTTCCGCTGAGGTTGTCGAAAT